CCCGGCTGATGGCAGGGAAAGGGGGGGGAGAAGGGGACATATTTCCCTGGAGCCTGACTATTCAAAAGGGCTTGGGGTTCCTGGCTACTACTGCGGTTACTGCTGGAGACCCAGGCCCTTTAAACTGCTGCTGGAGTCTGCGGGCTGCCTGAGGGAAAGAAGTTGCTGTGGACCTACCCCTTCATGGGAGCACAGAGCTGGATTTCGCCACCCTTCAACCCCCACCTTACCCAGGTGCCTGGAAAAATCTCTCTGCCCCCCCTCCCCCCGAAATACTTTCTCTGTACTAAATCACCATTTACATTGTGATACAAAATCTAGTGCATAAATGTCTTTTTTCAAGCCAAAAAGAATACTCAACATCAATGTCTGGTTTTGATTGCTTACACGTGGTATTGCATTTGACAGTCCCCAGTTTTTGTATTTTTAAAATTTACATTTTCTTCACTGTAACTATACAGAAAGCTAGATAAACATATGATGTTTTAGAACTCTTCAGAGGAACAATGGTGCAACATCCTCCGCATAGGAAAGTTATTTTGCACGTCTACAATATTTTTCCCTTTTTAAAAGATGGGAGAAGCTATTTTAGACCAGTTTGCTTCTAACCAGCATGGCAGTTTCAAGGTAACAGAATGAGATTACCTTATTTTCTTCACCTTGCCTCAGCCTTCCAGGACTAGGTGGTACTGAGGGTCGTTTTCTTCCCTTCTCCTGCTGGAAGAGATCCTGTAATCTGAGAGAGAAGGAAAGAGTAATCATTGGGCCATGCCTAAACACTATGGTAATACAAACAAACAGTATATTCAATGAGAAGAGTTATGCCAGATAAATATTATCATTCTGAGGGAAATCTATAAATATTGTCCATGCTGAGATTTAATCAAGTGTGTATCTTCATAATATTTTCTGGTCACCTCTGGTACTTATTAAAATGTTCTGCTTGACTAAATAAGATTACAATTAGCTGTGAACAGATCATTCTTTTCCCTCACACCTCATAGTAGGAGCCTTAGTGTTCAAGTCAGAACCGTTTTCAAAGTCACATATTGGTCATGAGAGATGGTTTAAATAACTGCAATAAAGAAATGCACTGATAAGTTGCCTGTACTTAAAATATTTATTCAAAATAATGTGCAGAGGATCAGTTGCCTTATTTAGGTTATCTTCTCATTTTCACCTTTATTCCAGCTGTGCCTCGTTTCCCATACAAATTGTGGTTCTTCAATAAGTCTGTACAATTTTACAGCAGAATTTGAAATACATTATGTATAATTCCACTCATTCAAGTCTAACCGTTTATAAGCAGGTTTTTACAAATATAATTCCACCTTTACACTCTCATTATGTAAATATGACTAGTTACTAGCAAGGTACTGCAATAAGTTGCTCTGTGATTGTGGCAACACACACACACACAAATAGGGAGAAAGTGCAGTAGAATCTTTTACCTAGGTTGCTAGCATCTCTCTTACCTATTATTCCAGGCTTGCAGCATCTCACAGAGGCCCTGTTTCTTGATTATCAGAGACTCAAAGAGAGACTGCAACTGCTGAGGGGTGTCCTGTGAAGTAGACAGCATCCTTGCTTGGATCTTCTCAATCCAGTTCCGGAACTCTACCTCTTCCATCTATCGTAGGAAAGTGAGATATTTTTTTCCAGTATTCTGCTATATCCGTGTAACAAGTGCTAGTGGCAATATATCATTTTTGCCCTGCATTTCACTGATACAAAAGCAGCATGTTACCTCTTTTTGTGCAAAAAGGTCTTCCATCTTCTCTTCCCTTGTTTTGCTGAAAGTATCAGTTTTCAAAGAGGTGAGACGATCATCAACAGCAAGGTACACATGTGAAACCCTGTGGTAAGAGGAAAAAACAATGGAGCCCTAATTCAGAATCTCAGAACTAAAATGTGGACCAAAAGTGTTCTTTAGTAGAACACAAGCTCAATTTGACACTAGAGTTTTGCAACTTATTCCTGCCCTGTAACAGCTTATGCCATTCTGCTTCAATGGGACAATTTGAGGGAGTGAGTCCACTCTCAAACAAGACGCAAGACCAGTGCCCCCTTGAAAGGAGAATTCTGTAGACTCTTCTAAAAGACCACAAAGAAAGCCTGCTGTTCTGACCAATTTTCTAAGCTATGGCAACTGTCTTTGAAGGCACACACAGAATCATCATTTAAAACAGAATATTCCATTAGAAAGAAAGCAGAGTTAAGGTAACAAATAGCTAGAATACATTTACCACCTTTGTCTGCTAAGAATGGCAATGCAATCTGAGAATTATTGTACCTTCCTGATTTAAGGCTAATCTATGTTTGAGAAATACAATGCATAAAACCAAGCTGAGTAGGAAAGACCATCTCTTCTTACTGTCCCTTCAGTAGTTTAGCACTGAACAGAATACCTTGATGCAACTGTAGCAAGTTGCTACTAAAAAGAGATCAGCAGGATGGGAACCCTGCCAGTTTTCCCCAGCCATCTTTTCCATCTCTCCGAACAACCTACAAGCAAGACAGCAGTTTCTTCCGCAGTCTGAGGCAACAATCAAACTACATTCAATCGCCTGCTGCTCAATTACAGTCAGCTAAAAATAAACACTACGAGGAAACAAAGTACAGGCAGTCCCTGGGTTACGTACAAGATAGGGACTGTAGGTTTGTTCTTAAGTTGAATCGGTATGTAAGTCGGAACTGGCGTCCAGATTCAGCCGCTGCTGAAACTGATTAGCGGCTGATTCCAGGAAGCCCGGGGCAGAGGCTTCCTGTAGTCAGCCACTGGTCAGTTTCAGCAGCGGCTGACTTGGGGATGCCTGGGG